CTGTGAGAAAAATAAAATTATAGAATCAGGTTATATATATTTCAAGTTAAGATGTAATACACAAATATGGGGGTAAGTGTTACAACAGATGTAAAAATGTAATATTGATATACAGTTACATCCTTGCTTCGCCTCATGCATTATCCAATCCTTTATAAAAAAAATTAATATAGAAAAATATAGAAAAATACATAGAAAAATAACTAGAAAAAATATGTAAAATACCCAGAAATTAGTATGTAATTTACATATAATTTTACACTTTTTTAATAGTCTTTTTACATGCAAATTTCCATATTCAAAACACAGAAAATGTACTATTTACATATATTTAAAACATGTAATTTTATATAGAAAAATAATATATAGTTATTATATTTATTATTAATATTTTATAATTAATAAATCAAATTAATTAATATATTATATTTTTTATTAAAAATAATTTAATAAATTTTATTTATTTAAAAAATTTTAATACAATAAATTATTTTAACTAGTTATACGTATATAGCAAAATGAATTTATTAAAAAGTAATATGATTATTCAAATATACATAATAGTTTGATACTACTATTTAGGTTCGATAAGATATAGGTTTATTTTTTTTCTTTTTGGTCGTTGCTTAATATTTTCTAAATTTTGTTTATAATATTATAGACAATTAAATTATTTAAATTAAATGATATTAATATAAAATTTGCTTTTTATAAATTTTTAATTTTACCTTTATTTGTTTGAAATTCACTTGCATTTTCGATTTCATTTTCAATTTCATTTTTGCTTTCACTTGTAATTGCTTCAACATCCAAATTGTTTTGATTCGCAATATTTTCATTAGACATTTTTTCTTGACCATTTTGTTTCTTTTTTTTATCTTTCATAAAAGTCTTAAAAATTAAAATTAAAATAATAAATATATTAAAAATATTAAAATTTTTTTAAATTAAAAAATTTAGTAGTTTAAATATTTATTAAATAATAATATAAATTAAATTAAATTTACTTCTATCTTGCATAACTTGCTTTATAGTTTCATAATAGGCCCAGTTATTTTTACTAAAATATTTTGAATAT